CGGATATCTGCACGGCTATGCCGGAGCCACGGTTGATCTTGGGAGATTTTAACTCTCACGGTACAGGCTGGGGGGAACTGTACGACGACAACCGCTCAACCTTGATATACGACATGTGCGACTTCTTCAAAATGACAATTCTGAACACCGGGGAAGCAACACGAGTAGCCAAACCTCCAGCAAAAATAAGCAGATTAGACCTCTCACTTTGTTCGAGTTCACTATCGTTGGATTGCTCGTGGAAAGTAATTCAAGATCCCTACGGTAGTGACCATTTGCCAATCAAAATTTCTATTACCAATGGTTCATCTTCTACTCGTTCGGTCGACATCGCGTACGATCTTACAAAAAACATTGACTGGCGAAAATTCGCGACCGCGGTTCTTGATGCCAGCCAATCGGTTGACGTACTTCCTCCGCTGGACGAGTACTCCTTTCTCGCGCGTCTTATCATCGATTCTGCGCTGCGAGCACAGACGAAACGTGTTCCGGGTATTTCCGTCCGCAAGCGACCTCCCACCCCGTGGTGGGATAAGGATTGCACCGACGCGAACAGCGAGAAGTCCGCCGCGTTTAAACGGTTCCGCAAACACGGCAAGGTCGGGGATTTCGAGCGGTACACCGACCTCGAGAAAACTTTTAAGGACTTAATTAAAGCAAAAAAACGCGGTTACTGGCGTCGGTTCGTCGATGGTTTGTCGCGAGAGACTTCCATGAGAACACTCTGGAATGTCGGCAGGAGAATGCGAAACGCGTCATCACCGATTAACGAAGACAAGGAGTACTCGGACAGTTGGATATTCAGCTTCGCGCGGAAAGTTTGCCCGGATTCGGTGTCGGTTCAAACCAACGTTCGTGATCGTCCGTCGGGTAATAACGAAATAGATTCCCCGTTTTCGATGGTGGAATTCTCACTTGCTCTCCTTTCATGTAACAATTCAGCTCCAGGAATGGATAGAATCAAGTTCAACTTGCTTAAAAATCTCCCAGATGTCGCGAAGAGACGCTTGTTGAACTTATTCAATCAATTTCTGGAGCACAACATTGTTCCGGATGACTGGAGGCAAGTAAGAGTTATCGCCATTCGAAAACCCGGTAAACCCGCGTCGGATTATAACTCGTACCGTCCCATCGCGATGCTGTCCTGTATACGGAAATTGTTGGAGAAAATGATTCTTTTTCGTCTAGACAAATGGGTCGAGTCGAATGGTTTACTTTCAGATACGCAATTTGGATTTCGGAGAGGCAAAGGAACGAGCGACTGTCTTGCGTTGCTTTCAACTGAAATTCAACTGGCCTATGCGCAAAAACAGCAAATGGGTTCAGTTTTCTTGGATATTAAGGGGGCTTTTGATTCTGTTTGTATCGATGTCCTTTCGGATAAACTCCACGATAGTGGGCTTTCACCAATTATGAACAACTATTTGAGCAACTTGTTGTCTGAGAAATATATGAGCTTTTCTCATGGAAACTCGACAACTTCACGAATTAGTTACATGGGTCTCCCCCAGGGCTCATGTTTAAGCCCCCTTCTTTATAATTTTTATGTAAAAGACATTGATGGTTGTCTTGATGAAAATTGCTCGCTAAGACAGCTTGCAGATGACGGCGTTGTGTCCGTTATAGGGCCAAGTGCACCGGACCTGCAAGGACCATTGCAAGATACCTTAGACAATTTGTCTACTTGGGCTATGAAGCTGGGTATCGAATTCTCTCCGGAGAAAACTGAGTTGGTTGTTTTTTCTAGGAAGCATCATCCTGCACAGTTACAGCTTCAACTAAAGGGTAGAACAATCACTCAAAGTATATCTTTCAAGTATTTAGGTGTCTGGTTCGATTCCAAAAGCACATGGGGAAAACATATTGCGTATCTAAAACAAAAATGCCAACAAAGAATCAATTTTCTTCGTACAATTACTGGAACTTGGTGGGGAGCACACCCGGAAGATCTGATCAGGTTGTACCGAACAACCATCTTGTCGGTTCTAGAGTACGGTAGCTTCTGCTTTCAATCCGCGGCGAAAACACATATCCTGAAGCTGCAACGGGTTCAATACCGTTGCCTCCGAATCGCGCTTGGCTGTATGCACTCGACGCATACGATGAGCCTCGAAGTACTCGCGGGTGTTCTCCCACTAACAGATCGTTTCGCGGAACTGTCCTTCCGGTTTCTTATCCGTTGTGAAGTAATGAACCCATTAGTAATAGAAAACTTTGAGAAGCTGCTCGACAGAAATCCTCAAACAAGATTCATGAGTCTCTATTACGAGTACATGACGCTGGAGATTGGCCCTTCTTCATTCAATTCCTCTCGTGTTTGCCTCCAAGACTTTTATAGTTCCTCTGTAAATTTTGATCTGACCATGTTGCAAGAAATCCGTGGAATACCAGATCACCATCGATCGATGGTTGTTCCCTTAATTTTTGCAAACAAGTACCACCATGTTAGTAACAATAAGAGTTTTTTCACAGATGGGTCAACTATAAACGCTTCCACTGGATTTGGAGTATTCAACGAATTTCATACCGCCTCATATCAACTGCAAAAACCCTGTTCCGTATACGTTGCGGAACTAGCAGCCATATTTTACGCAGTAGAGCAAATTGCCTCACTACCATCTGATCACTATTTTATTTTTACTGATAGCCTTAGCTCGTTGGAGGCTATTCGATCAATGAGGCCGATGAAGCACTCCTCGTATTTCCTGACCGAAATCCGAGCAAAATTGAGTACTTTATCTAACTGCTCCTATACTATCACCTTAGCTTGGGTCCCATCTCATTGCTCAATTCCGGGTAATGAGAAAGCGGACTCGCTAGCTAAGGTGGGCGCTATGGAAGGCGATATTTTTGATCGACAAATCGCCTTTGCGGAATTTTTCTCAATTACCCGTCAGCACGTCCTCACCAACTGGCAACAAAAATGGAATGAGAGTGATCTGGGAAGATGGTTACATTCTATTCTCCCACAGGTGTCGAACAAGCCATGGTTCAAAGGATTGGACATGAGCCGTGACTTTATACGTGTCATATCAAGGCTCATGTCCAATCACTACTCGTTAGACTCGCATTTCTTCCGAATCGGGCTCGCAGGCAGCAATTTGTGCGCTTGTGGTAGTGGCTATCACGATATCGACCACGTGCTTTGGTCATGCACCCTACATTGTGTTGCTAGATCCGAGTTATCCGCATCCCTCAGGGCCCGAGGAAAACAACCTATGCGGCCCGTTAGAGACATCTTGGCGAGCCGAGATCTCGAATATTTTAATTTAATTTATGTGTTTTTAAAACGGATCGATCTGAGGATTTAGTAGTTAGTGTCATCTTGTGTTCCCCCAAGTTGTTAGCTGCCCATCGGTATACCCCCATGTTTGTCTTTTTCGTCAGTTGGTCGCTTAGTTCGAGATAAAAAGCACATTGCTCTCCAAACCTTGTGTTCTCAATCCCTACCCTGCCATCCATTTGTTACAATTTGTTACCCCTAACCTCGAGATAGCCGCGAGTAATCGGCCCCCGCTTTACTAACGTTAGTTTTAAGAAATTTTGTCATCCAAACAATGAATATCGGCTCCGCAAAGCTACGGCAAATGAGCCTGGAAAAATAAACGCATTTAAAAAAAAAAAAAAAAAAAAAAAAACATTAGCAGAATTTAAGAGACATTGCATTTCACACGTTAAAACTGTCTTTTGAACGGTTATCCAGTGATTTTTTTTTTATGAATTGACAAATTATGTATCTTACCGAAGTTATTTTTAACGGATCATTTTGTATGGATAGCTGTTATAACGACTTTTTAATAATTATTGTAGCACTGCAAAAACTATTTTGTTCGCCACGATGGTGATGATGGATTTTTGATATATGATTTAATAGTAGTAGTAAAAAAAAATAGTAGTCTACAAAGGTTTGAGCCTCGCGCGCGTATTACGGATATAGAGGACAGAATTTAACATTTGATAAAATAAAATGCAATTTTGAAGCTTATTTGGTAGATACCTTGAGTTAGTAGTTTTCTGGCAAATGTCGGAGGTTCGTGAGCATTCCTGACATTGCTGAAAATTATGATAGCATCAGATTGTGGAGTTGCTAGTGTAATAGGATGGTTTGTTGATTGTCCATTAACTCTTGATTGCTTGTAATACTTATGAATATTTTAGGTGGACAAAAAGGCGAACTAAGAGGTGGACGCCTGAGCTTTTCCACATTTATATCGCTGTGAAGCAACTGTAAACTCTAGAGGGAATTTATTTCTGTAACTGAAACCAGTTCGATTTTGTTTGCCAACCTGGTTAAAATGTCATATTTAATTATCTTAAAGATAAATCGTCCAGCTCAAACCTTTTTAGGGGTAAGAGGTGGGACCATCATCATCATCATCATCAGTCGAAGGTACTTTAATTTCACACGGTTTTGCGAGGCAATGCTATAATAAGCTACATTATCAAACGTTTGATATTAAAATTGATTAGTTCCTGAATCTAACACAGATTCAAGCATCTCGAGGAGGAATCGACCAAAGAAAACTAGCATTGAGCCAAATCAAGTTACATTTGCTTTAATATAATCAATACGCGAGCATCGTCAGATCTCCTCGAGATCAGAAACGGTCGCTTATAACGAAATTGTAGAAGAGAAAATCAAGACAAATCGCAATCATTTGCAGCCCAAGAACATTTATAGGGGATTCCCTCTTTTGGGCACCGATGCACAGACTACTCTTGCTGATGATGATAGTATTGCTTCTTCGATTATCATTCAGGTTTTACCCGAAGCGAGCTTCATCTGACTGGTTATACTTCTCGTCTTGCTCCTGTCCGTAATCTGTGTACCGATGTGAGAGTTCGTGATCTTGCCCTGGGATTCCCTGACCGAATCAGTCTCTGGCGGATGAGCGATTGATTGATTCATTAAAAAAAAAAATACTAATAGCACTTGAAGACACAGTTTTTTATCCAAAAAAAAAATACAGATTTAAATAGGGCAACCCTGTTTGTGTTACCCATGTCAGCAATTCATATATGAACCACACGACGTATCTCAGCCAGGACACAAAAAAAATACATTTCGAGAACGGATCTCATTTTAGCCTCTGCTTATCACTTGCGTTTGAATTTGCACTTCAACGATCGCTGAGAGCCGGTCCACGTTAAATTCTAGTTCACTTCGAACAGTCCAATCGTGCAGAAGGTGAATATCAACTCCGAGCATGCAGTGCAAATGGCTGCAGATTTGTTGGTAAATTTATTTTGAAAACAGTGACGATTCATAACGTTCTTAAACATAATGTCTGACTTACAGCCTTTGTGCAGCCTTACAGTTCCAGTTCATTGAAGGACATCCTGATTGGTGAGTCAATTATAGCATACCTAGTAAGACCATAGTTTTTCCCCTGAAAGAAATTAATTCTCTGAATTTAATCGCATTTATTTAAGTTAAGGAGCAACTAAATCAAACATGTGCATATGCTTGTATTTAGAACCTATCGCTCAACAACTACTATGGCTCTGAACCATTTGGTGGATTATTTTAACTTTTGGTTAAAATTTGACAGATGAAAAGTTATCGATTAACCCTGCTATCCGAGCATGGTTATTTCTGACAGACAAGAAGTTAAATTTTGACAACCGTGGCTCGAAAACCGGTCGATCGACAGCACGGGGATTTTCGAACATAGAAAATAACTTTCGAAATGTCACTTTTAACCACGAGTTAAATTTAACTCGGCAAATGGTTCACAGCCTAAATAATCTTGTTGGGGAAGAAAAATCAAAACAACTGTTCTGATCCGAGATTTTCGCAGCAATAGGTTCAAAATCGAAGCGTAGACTGAAATTAAATCTCGTACCACCACAAAATAAAATGAATGATAATGTTGCAGCATCTGGAGCAGTTTGGCTCAAGAGACTAATTGAAACCCGAACACGCATTCAAACAAGCATTGCATTTTTAATGCATGGCTGATTGTTGCAACAGATTTCGCTGGTAAAAGTATTTAGTAAAAAGTTACGGCGATTAATTGTGTATGCAGAAAACAAAAAAAAATCGATTTTAACCAAATCAGAACCTTTTCTGAAAAAAATATTTCCTGCAATTCGTTACGCAACATTCCTACCGAATATTTTTTTCTGTTTTCGGTTCCAAAATCGATGGTTTTGGAAAACATTTCAATCAAAACTGACAGGCATACCCTAATAAACAAGTGCCATAAACGAACTGTATCCCGAATGGGTAAACTACCCCACAAATGGTTTGGATGATACTCCGAAGTTTAGGTTAAGCTCTCTTTTATGGTTAATTTTATTAGGGTATAGTGATCCGTTATTTATTCATTAATTGTTATGATGCAAAACAAGCAAGAATGCATTCCAGAAGTAACATTTCGGTTTGGCTTGGAAGATTCCAATTATCCAATATTTTTATTTTCTTTATTTTGCTAAACTAAAATTAAAATGCCGTACAGTGTGCTCTGCATTAGTGTTGAATTTGGAACAAAGATAAAGAACATTCAATGCGAATATTGTTCACTATTATGACCATCTCAGTGACGCACAGTGCACAGTGGTTCCCCTTAAAACAAAAGTTGGCCAAAGCCACAAAATTGTTGCAAATAGGCAAAAAAAAACAGTTGAAATAGATGTTTTTTAGCTGTACGAAGAAAACTTGACAATCAAGACGTCCCAAAAAGGAGTATCTGTTCAATCTTTTTATGTTTGCAAAATTAGGGTGGTCCATAAAATTGGTGAATTAAAAATACAAACTTTTTTATTATTTGAGATAGACCAAAGCAGTGTTGTAAACAGTTGTAAAACAATCAATTCAAAGAGACTTTGTTGAAGACACGACGTTTCTATCTCTTATGGTTCACGAGTAGTGATTTTTTTTTTAAACAAGCAGGTTAGGGTGGCCTGCTTGTTTAAAAATATCTTTTCATGCGTTAATTTCTCGTAAAAACATTGTTCTGATTACATTAAGAACTTTTGATGGCGCATATTTTTGCTCAAGTAACTAGGTTACTATCTTTTTTGAGCCGGAGACGAACCACCCGCAAAGAAAATAACCATTTCTAGAACAGTTAAAACTTCACTGACACCTTTCAAGCTATGTTAACTTTATACAAAATAGTTTTGCTATGGTTTACGGAATGTAATCAACATAAAAGAAACACTACTTTCTATTGTTACAGTTTCTGGTATGTTCCAGCTACATTTTGTTACGGTTGATCAACTATTCGAGACTATATTAAACTATCATAAAACATTATGAATAAAAGTTGTAAACAACTTGTACAACGCTTACGTGTTTCGCTTATGGTTGCTTTATGGGTTTACATTTGGGACAAATAGAAGAAAATGCTTTTGTTTGGAATGGCGGTCGTGAGTACATTTGATTGATTTTTCTGAGTTATTGCATTTTAAACCCTTACTCCAAATGGAAAACCTGTTTAGATAATAACGTAAGTAATATCAGCTTACAGTATAAAGTATTCCTTAAAAGCGCATGTATTTTCCACAAACATATTTAGGGTATTTGACAATCCCAGCCATGATGGCTAACAGCGGTCTACATGCGATGGAGATTTTGAAAAAAAGAAATCGAAACGGGTTCATATTTATCAACTAGTAATAGAATGGAGGTTTGTTTTGCAGAGGGTAAACATTTGTTTATTCCATGTATCTTTAAATCAATAAAAAATAATACCGAGAGCAAGGGCGGTATCCACAAAATGAAGTCTTGCAAATCACATTAAAATTAAAGAACAACCCATATCTGCTGTGTTCCGCATATGCTACAACAGTATTATAACATCAATAAGTATGTTAATTTCTACCCAGACATAGTATATCTTGAAGTTAATAACAATGGTTGATTTTAAGCCGTACTACCTTATTCGAACGATAATAGGAATAGGATTCACATATCCAACTAGAACCTTTTCTGATGTGGTTAGGCTATAGTTCCTTTGCAAAAAATGTATGGGAAAAAGTTAGATTTCGTATGGTGAACGTTCTTAACCACCCATTGTTCGTATGGTTGGGTCTTTGAAAACCTTAATCAATATGGTCAAATCTTTATCTAGGTATGGTTCGATTAAAGTTGACTGAACCATTTTCATTATGGTTTTCACAGGAAGATAAACCATTTTCAATATGGTAATCGTATGGTTGTGATCAGGGCGTCACAACATCAGCTTCAATCGACCAAATCGATACGACGAAGAGACTACGTTTATTAATTTATTTGATAAGGCTCAAACGAATTTACTTTACAGAGCAGAGGATTCTTGGTCACTATACAATACATCTTAAAACTATAGTCAAAAGGTACAACACAATAAACACTTTATCTTCCGCTATCCAAAAAGCCTTCTCCATCAGAACTGGAGCCGCTTCCAGTAGTTTCATTGTATGGCAAATTGTTGTACGCCAACGAGGGTCAGAGCGCGTCTATTGCAGCAATGGACGCAAAACGTGGTCAGCACTCACACACTCATCACGAAACGGTTGCTTTCCAAAGTCGACGACGCATCGACCGAAAGAACTGCTGATGAAGAACAATGAGGAGGACCACACAATGGTTGCTGCCGAGAAAACAGACGATCGCGTGGCACACATCGAGAGTGGCCTGCTTTTGTCGACAGCCGAGTGAACACTGTGGACGACGAAGAGACTGCTGGCTTTCTTTTTATGTTAAAGTTGAACAGCTTCGCAGCATTCTAGAACCTCAGTCGGCGTGCACAAACAAATGTGCAATCGCTTATCTCTCTTTCTCCCGTCGTTCCATTGGTCTTCCTTTCAAGCTCCGGCGAAACGGATGAGCGAAAGAGCGCTCGACTTTGATAGTTCTCTTGTTTCATGAAACACATCAACAGAGGTTTCATGACATATATGACGGAAAATGAAATTACATATTTAAAACATTTCTCACGTGAAAACACTTGAAGATTACACGTAATATGTTTAATTTATCTTCCATCCATATATTTATCTAAAAAAAATTAACAAAAACGGGACATAACGCATTTTAAACAATTTGAAAGAGCGGTGATAGAGTGTTCGTGAAAGGGGATTGAAAGCCATAAAGAGGTTCGTTTAACTAGAAAATCGACGTTAGTTACATTGAAAGCGATGAGCAAAACAACGACTAGAAGATCCACAGCCAGCGTTTCCTTCTAAGTGTGCTTCTTTTTCATTATTATTTCTTGCTGATAGTCTAGCTAGGCGTTATAGAAATGAAGCGTTGAACACGTTTGTATGAGAGAAACAAACTCGAGTTCATTTTAGAGCTTCGAAAATGTAGAGCCCTGGTTGTGATTTATGCAGGCAGCCTAGGGCTGCAAGTCTCCTTAATAAAGATTAAAAAAAAACTTTTTTGATTAGAAAGTTAAAGGCTATTTTCTTCGAAAAAAATAGCTCTTTTCAATTGTCAACATCTCAAAATAAAGCAAACCGATTATCAAACATTTATTTTAACTGGAAACATAGTTTTTTCTTCATTTTTGGTATAAAAATACTGAAAGAGCATTTCTGTTTAAATCCTTTAATTTAATTTTAAAAAAGTCATATTTTTCAGCAAAAACTAGCCATGACTTTTCAAATAAAATAGAAAACAACTTAGCAAAAATATGCGTCATAACAAGTTCTTAAAGTGTCTAGTATGAAAATATCGGCAGATTCTAATTATGTAGTATGGATCCATTTCTCTCCAGGTACGGGTCAATGTTTGTCTGAGGCTTGCTGTACTCGGGTGGCGTTTAGAACAGGCTTTGGCCTTCATGGAGCGCCATATTGAGTAATCCAGCGGATTAAGATCGGGGCTGGATGGCAGCCACATATCCTTTGAGGTGTGGCATGGAGCCCCATCTTGTTGAAATACAACATTTGGCCTCGGACCGTACTGTTTTTTGATCCACGGAAGAACATATTTACTTAAAATCCCGATGTAAACCTCTGGGTTGACCTTGTCGCCTTCTGGAATGAACACCGGGTCCATTTTTTTTTTGCCATCGGAAGCCACCAAACCAAACACCATAACGCTAGCAGGATGCTTGGTCAGATACACGTTCTTGTTCTCGTCGGCCACGGCTTTTACCACAAGAGAACTAATATACCGGTCGGTTCTGGAATTTGATACGGAATCGACGGTAAACATGCTCTCGTCGGACAGGATTACCGCATTTTTTCGCTTAAGGAACTTCAAGATTTTCTTGCATCGTTCGACTCGTAGCTCCCGGATGCGGTTGGTAATCATGTGAGTTTTTTCCGTGCCCTCGACTTTGCCCCGCAATCTTCTTTTACGATCTTCCGTGCCGTAAAGTCACTGATCCCGTGTTCCTTTGCCATTTTCCTTATTGAACGCACTGGATTCACCCGAATCTTCCTTTTGATAGCCGCGATAACCCTCGGAACACGAGCTGACCTCGGACGACCTGTGGCCACCTTCGCGGATAGTTGTCCTTTCTTTTCTCGGAATAAAACCCTTTTGAAGGGACACTCCCACGGCGATTTAAATGTCTTTTTGCGACATTTGCGCGTGGGACAAATCACGAATACGCTGCCACTTCGTCATGGTGCAACTGTCAAACTAAGTAAATCATTTTCTTTTATACACAGCCTACTACGGTATGAGCTATAGGTTACGTGCATGCAAAGAAAACCAAGGCATTTTTTGCGCAGGTGAAACGGGATCCTTATTTGTACGATGGTGCACACATTATTACGCATACGGTAGATAATATATGCTGCATGTGTGTATATGTGTGCGTGTTGGTGTGCTTTGAAAAAGGCATTGTGAAGCTTGCTACAGTATACACCGCAGATTATATAACTTAGAAACGGATATTTTCCTAAGAACACTTTACTTGTTATTCCTAATTTCAACATCTTTCGCAAAAAATCGCAAAACACATTGAAAGCTAACTTTTCTAGCTATCTTTTGGTTACTAAAGGATAGTGGGCGAATGTGTCCGTCATATGTTTTGCTTAGTCTAAATGTGAAAAAAGTATATGTTTTCTGTTTTTTTATTAGAAACTGTCACTATTTGACGTAAACATGCCGAGGAACATTTCTTCTGAAGCAACCAAGTTCATAAACACTTTATTTTTTGCTATATTCGAGCAAAATAGTAGCAAGAAACATTACGATTTTTTTACACTATAACAATCATAAAAAATATGTAATCAACAGAACAGAACAGGTTGGACATCATTTCCTCTTCCATCATATGAAGCACGCTGCATGCTTATAAACATACAAACATTAAAAGAGCGTCGTGAATATGCAATGGTTTCATTTGTAAACGATATCATTTCGCAGCGCATTGACTCCACAAAACTTCAAAATTAAATTTCCATGCACCTACTCGGCAACTCCGAAATCGAAATTTATTTCCCATAAAACATCATCGCATAAATTATGCAAAACAAAATATGGGCCATTAAACCGCATGATGGCCTCTTACAATCAATACTGCGAAACCATTGACTTTACAATGCACACTGGGCAAAAAGAGACAAAACCGCGACTAAATTGAATATCTCGGCTGCCAAACGGTTTCAGTCAACATGCTATACATATTCTCAAAGGAAAAACTCTCGTGAATCGATTGGTGATTCTGAACAACATAGAAAAAATCGCAAGGTTCTAGCACAATTTTTATAATGTGGCCACTTTATCGGTCAATCCAGATTATCCGGTGAACCAGGAATGGCCACCATATTCCAAAATATGTATTCCAAATTAAATACGCTCTGATCTCTTGATTCTGAACAACATAGAAAAAATCGCAAGGTTCTAGGAATTTTTTTATAATGTGGCCACTTTATCGGTCGTTCCGGATCCTCCTTTAGGCCAGTAGAGTTTTCCTGTGGGCTTAAATGGTGTCTTTACACCATATATACTTAGTACTATCAATTTCCAGTCATATAAGTCTAAAATTATGTCAATAGATAGTGACATTTCCTGCATTACCGGGAACTCGGGTTGATCCCGGCCCTCCATATCGGTACGCAACAGTCTCCGGCCAATGAGACCACCACCAATCGATTCAGGAGAATGTTTCCTTTAAGAATATGTATAACATGTTGACTGAAACCGTTTGGCAGCCGAGATATTCAATTTAGTCGCGGTTTTGTCAATTTTTGCCCACTGTGCAATGTCTCGGCATAAACTAAAACAATATTTTTACTCCATAAGGCATTATAACTCATAAAAAAATAGGAAAGCTGACACTGCTTAATTTTTATTAAAGACAAAATTATACTTTTAACCTCTTTTCCAAAGTTGACGAAATAAATAAATAAATTTAAGAAAACCAAACTGTATTCGAATATGTACTAGTCTACGTTGGTTGACGAAAAATAAATAAATAGATTACTCTTATGTATTTCATTTTAAGGACCCATTCAAATCCAGACACAAATCAAAGCAGAAAATCAATTCCCAAATCGGACACGGACACCATCAGTTTTGCATACAATGGAGAACAGTACGTATCAATCCTATCCTAATTTTTATCCGCAAAACTGATGTAATGTTTATTATGTATTCCATTTAATCAATTTTTCACATCACAACAACAATGACAGACAAGCACAGAAAAACCTCGATATCACCACGTAAGTATTCAATTTAAAAAAAGACCTTTAAAGCACAGACAAACAGACATAACACATTGAATATTTCTCACTGTGAAACATCGTCGCTAAAACATTACCGCCATCTGTTGAGTACACTGTGGTGGGTAGTACGCTGAACAGATGGCGTTAGTGTGTAAACGTCAAACGCAAGAGAACTAACTATGCGCGCCACAGATGGCGGTACTACCAACTACGATACTTTTAAATTGATCGTTAAATGCTTGGTCGATGAACAACTTGCGAGTGTTATGTCTATTTGTCTGTGCTTTCACTGCCAGAACCGCCCACCAGCGTAAAGATGCAAAAACTAGCCACGGGGAGGGTGAAACTGTTGTGATCAAATTGGATCAAAATTAAATGAGTTACACCTTCTCACTGTAAGGACAACATTTCCCACACGCTAAGATGCACATACCTCAAAGTCGGTAAAGAATACTAAACATATCTAGATAGAGCTGGAATTAGGGCCTAACAGCTTTTGTAAACAATGGCTTCTATCGATGATTTCTAGAATTTCAAGGCTCGCCCACGCAAACCAACATCCTCATCGGGTAGGGAAAGACTTCCACTATCCGATGGTTATATTGGTCTGCGTGGGCGTGCCTTGGGTTCCCAGAAATCATCGATAGAAGTCATTGTTTACAAAAGCTGTTTCGCCCTAATTCCAGCTCTATCTAGATATAGTCAAAGTACATAACTCTGGATGGGAGCATACCATCAATTACTTTCATTGGTCGAAGGGACAGTAGCAGCACCTACCCCACCCGTGTCCCCTCGAGATCGTCAAGTCGACGATGACTGGAGCACATACCGTGGTAGGGGTAAACAATAGCTGCAATTTCCAAACCTACGACTGGATGCCTTGCTTCGAATAACAACTGGAGTGCGGTAATAATCGGTAGAACTGTTTCAAACACATTGTTGGTACTTGAGGGGTCGGCGATCATCTCTTTTTGCCAGTGGTGGCGGGGTAGGGGGATTTTGGTAAAGAGAGATGATAAAACCGATTTGTACCTTCGTTAAAAGTTGTCCTAGCTCGCTATCTACTCTCTATATGCAATTTTCACACTGCCGTAATCTAAACGGAACTATCAATTCTATACTTTCATCTCCTCCTCATCTATCGTATAAAAATTACCACTTCAGTTTGTTATTCGAAACTAGCATCTTCAACTATGTAAATCGTTGACTTCACGCAGAAGTATAATACTAAACATACAGTCAAAGTAGTTAAATTTTACCTATTTTGAGTAAAAAGTAACGATTTTTGTCGATAAAAAACATAGATAATTTTAGGCAATCGTAATCGAAAAGTTCCTACCTATATGGAGAAAAAATACTAATCAAAAATTAAGTTCTTTTTACTTTATTTTGAGTTGAGCCTCTCAATTGAACTCGTTATTGTTGTCAAAAAAGAAACGAGAGATTTGACCCAACGATATAGTTCAACCCAATAAGTTACTGTTGAGTTCAGTGCATATTTCCAAATTTACGTGAAATAAACTTAATTTTGAATAGAATATACTTAAGAGTAAGTTTTTGTTTTGCTGCTGTTAAATGGAAACTACTATATGCAATTTATTTAAATTTAGGTTAAAAAGTACTTAATTTTGGGTAGTTTTTCATCTCCGTGTACGTATCGGACCATAGCTTGGAATTACGATCCTTCCAAGTTGTCAACTCACAATTTGTAGCCCGTGTGTGTATTCATGTGTGTCTGCATGTAAATAGCCTAATTACAAATTCAAAAACTTAAAAAATCAAACATCTATTCTTAAACAATTTAAACAGATTTTTTTGCAATTTATGTTATATTTTTAGAGATAACATATTTTCTTTCTTTTAGAGTTTACCAACAGCACTACGAAACGAGTACCCGTCCAGGAAAAATAGACCCAAAAAGCTATCATGGGTAAGAAACTACCGCTAAAAATATAAAGCATGGACTATTTAGAAATGTAACAACAACAATCGCGTATATTTCGGATTAGGATTAACAGATTAAAAACCTGATTTCACTAAAAAGTACAGAAAACAAAATTATTAATATTAATTTCAAGACATTCTGTGTCTTTGCCAGTATCCCGGCTCATCAACCCCCGCATACTTTATTCGTGCACTATTATGATAGCACAACATTTGCATCTGACAGGTGTTTTTGGTCACTTTCAGCATCCCCATCAAATTTGCAACAAATGTATCAATCGGCCTACACTGGAGACAATTGGGCGGGTTAAGGTGATTCCTTGTTGAGTCCACAAATGGCCGCTACGTAGGCTATACATGCACTTCCACTTCAAACTTTCAATTACACAAATCTTGGAAATCAATGCCCCATTTTCCCTGAAATTGCTACTTCATGTATGCTGCAGTGCAGCAAACGTGCACAGATAAAAATTCTGAATTTTAATTGTGATGTAAACCTTCATTGACGTAGACTTGTATTTCATTTCACGCAACCGAGCAACTTGCAAACAATGTTGTTTAGAAAGATGGGCTTTTGTATACAATATTTATTTATTTATTTATTTACTTTTCTTCGTATAATAAAAACGAACAGACAGAATTATTAATGTCTAGTTAAAGAACTAATCCTATTTTTAAACATGGTTTTCTTTTTTTTTTAAATGCGTTTATTTTTCCAGGCTCATTTGCCGTAGCTTTGCGGAGCCGATATTCATTGTTTGGATGACAAAATTTCTTAAAACTAACGTTAGTAAAGCGGGGGCCGATTACTCGCGGCTATCTCGAGGTTATGGGTAACAAATTGTAACAAATGGATGGCAGGGTAGGGATTGAGAACACAAGGTTTGGAGAGCAATGTGCTTTTTATCTCGAACTAAGCGACCAACTAACGAAAAAGACAAACATGGGGGTATACCGATGGGCAGCTAACAACTTGGGGGAACACAAGATGACACTAACTACTAAATCCTCAGATCGATCCGTTTTAAAAACACATAAATTAAATTAAAATATTCGAGATCTCGGCTCGCCAAGATGTCTCTAACGCCATAGGTTGTTTTCCTCGGGCCCTGAGGGATGCGGATAACTCGGATCTAGCAACACAATGTAGGGTGCATGACCAAAGCACGTGGTCGATATCGTGATAGCCACTACCACAAGCGCACAAATTGCTGCCTGCGAGCCCGATTCGGAAGAAATGCGAGTCTAACGAGTAGTGATTGGACATGAGCCTTGATATGACACGTATAAAGTCACGGCTCATGTCCAATCCTTTGAACCATGGCTTGTTCGACACCTGTGGGAGAATAGAATGTAACCATCTTCCCAGATCACTCTCATTCCATTTTTGTTGCCAGTTGGTGAGGACGTGCTGACGGGTAATTGAGAAAAATTCCGCAAAGGCGATTTGTCGATCAAAAATATCGCCTTCCATAGCGCCCGCCTTAGCTAGCGAGTCCGCTTTCTCATTACCCGGAATTGAGCAATGAGATGGGACCCAAGCTAAGGTGATAATATAGGAGCAGTTAGATAAAGTACTCAATTTAGCTCGGATTTCGGTCAGGAAATACGAGGAGTGCTTCATCGGCCTCATTGATCGAATAGCCTCCAACGAGCTAAGGCTATCAGTAAAAATAAAATAGTGATCATATGGTAGTGAGGCAATTTGCTCTACAGCGTAAAATATGACTGCTAGTTCCGCAACGTATACGGAACAGGGTTTTTGCAGTTGATATGAGGCGCTATGAAATTCGTTGAATACTCCAAATCCAGTGGAAGCGTTTATAGTTGACCCATCTGTGAAAAAACTCTTATTGTTACTAACATGGTGGTACTTGTTTGCAAAAATTAAGGGAACAACCATCGACCGATGGTGATCTGGTATTCCAAGGATTTCTTGCAACATGGTCCGATCAAAATTTACAGAGGAACTTTAAACGTCTTGGAGGCAAACACGAGAGGAATTGAATGAAGAAGGGCCAATCTCCAGCGTCATGTACTCGTAAAAGAGACTCATGAATCTTGTTTGAGGATTTCTGTCGAGCAGCTTCTCAAAGTTTTATTTTACCAATGGGTTCATTACTTCACAACGGATAAGAAACCGGAAAGACAGTTCCGCGAAACGATCTGTCAGTGGGAGAACACCCGCGAGTACTTCGAGGCTCATCGTATGCGTCGAGTGCATACAGCCAAGCGCGATTCGGAGGCAACGGTATTGAACCCGTTGCAGCTTCAGGATATGTGTTTTCGCCGCGGATTGAAAGCAGAAGCTACCGTACTCTAGAACCGACAAGATGGTTGTTCGGTACAACCTGATCAGATCTTCCGGGTGTGCTCCCCACCAAGTTCCAGTAATTGTACGAAGAAAATTGATTCTTTGTTGGCATTTTTGTTTCACATACGCAATATGTTTTCCCCACGTGCTTTTGGAATCGAACCAGACACCTAAATACTTGAAAGATATACTTTGAGTGATTGTTCTACCCTTTAGTTGAAGCTGTAACTGTGCAGGATGATGCTTCCTAGAAAAAACAACCAACTCAGTTTTCTCCGGAGAGAATTCGATACCCAGCTTCATAGCCCAAGTAGACAAATTGTCTAAGGTATCTTGCAATGGTCCTTGCAGGTCCGGTGCACTTGGCCCTATAACGGACACAACGCCGTCATCTGCAAGCTGCCTTAGCGAGCAATTTTCATCAAGACAACCATCAATGTCTTTAACGTAAAAATTATAAAGAAGGGGGCTTAAACATGAGCCCTGGGGGAGACCCATGTAACTAATTCGTGAAGTTGTCGAGTTTCCATGAGAAAAGCTCATATATTTCTCAGACAACAAGTTGCTCAAATAGTTGATCATAATTGGTGAAAGCCCATTATCGTGGACTTTATCCGAAAGGACATCGATACAAACAGAATCAAAAGCCCCCTTAATGTCCAAGAAAACTGAACCCATTTCCTGTTTTTGCGCATAGGCCAGTTGAATTTCAGTTGAAAGCAACGCAAGACAGTCGCTCGTTCCTTTGCCTCTCCGAAATCCAAATTGCGTATCTGAAAGTAAACCATTCGACTCGACCCATTTGTCTAGACGAAAAAGAATCATTTTCTCCAACAATTTCCGTATACAGGACAGCATCGCGATGGGACGAGGTACGAGTTATAATCCGACGCGGGTTTACCGGGTTTTCGAATGGCGATAACTCTTACTTGCCTCCAATCATCCGGAACAATGTTGTGCTCCAGAAATTGATTGAATAAGTTCAACAAGCGTCTCTTAGCGACGTCTGGGAGATTTTTAAGCAAGTTGAACTTGATTCTATCCATTCCTGGAGCTGAGTTGTTACATGAGAGGAGAGCAAGTGAGAATTCCACCATCGAAAACGGAGAATCTATTTCGTTACTACCCGACGGACTATCACGAACGTTGGTTTGAACCGACACCGAATCCGGGCAAACTTTCCGCGCGAAGCTGAATATCCAACTGTCCGAGTACTCCTTGTCTTCGTTAATCGGTGATGACGCGTTTCGCATTCTCCTGCCGACATTCCAGAGTGTTCTCATGGAAGTCTCTCGCGACAAACCATCGACGAACCGACGCCAGTAACCGCGTTTTTTTGCTTTAATTAAGTCCTTAAAAGTTTTCTCGAGGTCGGTGTACCGCTCGAAATCCCCGACCTTGCCGTGTTTGCGGAACCGTTTAAACGCGGCGGACTTCTCGCTGTTCGCGTCGGTGCAATCCTTATCCCACCACGGGGTGGGAGGTCGCTTGCGGACGGAAATACCCGGAACACGTTTCGTCTGTGCTCGCAGCGCAGAATCGATGATAAGACGCGCGAGAAAGGAGTACTCGTCCAGCCTTGGAAGTACGTCAACCGATTGACTGGCATCAAGAACCGCGGTCGCGAATTTTCGCCAGTCAATGTTTTTCGTAAGATCGTACGCGATGTCGACCGAACGAGTAGAAGATGAACCATTGGTAATAGAAATTTTGATTGGCAAATGGTCACTACCGTAGGGATCTTGAATTACTTTCCACGAGCAATCCAACGATAGTGAACTCGAACAAAGTGAGAGGTCTAATCTGCTTATTTTTGCTGGAGATTTGGCTACTCGTGTTGCTTTCGTGTTGTGGGAAGTAAAGCCGTTGGTCCCCGGTTCATGAGTTGATGGGTCGATAGGTAGGGTCCAGGTGTGGGAGCTGCCTTCCTGGCACGTCGGTAGCATTGGTGCTCAGCACGGAAAACAAGATCGACGGAAAAACAAACCAAAGGAACTTCGAAAGAACGCCGAGAACAGATTTGCAGATTCTGTTGGAGATTCAGCTGCCTCACCTTCGTAACGGAGATGTCGAGGCATTCCGTTGGATCGCTTACGGGTCTTCACATATTGCCAGAATTGTTGGGGGTCCTGTTTCAAACTTGCTTCAGTACGATGAATGTAGCAGCGAAAGCATTGTGCATGCAAAGAGTTATATTCGCTCTCTAAGTCACGCAGCTCAGCCTTATGCTGTTCATTCCTAGACCGAAAGTAACGCTTCCTTGCCCTGCGTAGACGATTTCGCAGCCTTTGCAGTTCATTGTTCCACCATGGTTGTTTCTTCCTGTGGGTGTCGATCCGTTGTTTTAGAGGCACAACTTCGCTGATGATTCCATAAAGCTTGTCGTAGAATATCGATACCACTTCGTCGACACTGCAACCAATTCGACGTCCGAAATCATTGAGCTTAAAACTGCAAAATCACATCGCTTGAAGTCAAAATCTAACGGATCAGTTGCTCGGGAAATTTCACATTAGCTTGCAGTGTCAATCACAAGCACCAATGTTTTATGATGTTTATCAACACGCAGTAGCGGTGACGGGGGCTCCACAAGCTCGAGTACATTGATATCAGTAGAGAAAACCAAATCTAGTATCCTTCCATTCGCATTACCATAATAATTCAACTGATGC